TACATATGAATGGCTCATTCACATACAAACCTACCTCGTATACCGTATGCATAGCTATTGCATGCACTCCTATGCAGTACAAGCATAAGCAGTAACACAGATAGGTTTGTATGTGAATGAGACATTCATATGCACTTAAAGACCCATATTAAATATTTTTAATGATTTAGCTCGAAGTATTATAATTATTGTTTAACGTATTTGTAATTTTATAATTTGTTTATAATTTTGTTTCTAATAAATTAAAGTTTACATAGTTTAATTTATTGAAATCATATTTATTATTATAACAATAAATAGTATAATTTTAATTAATGCAAGCCGGGATAATTTATACATTGTTGTCAGAAATGTTGCATAATTACTGACATACACAAAAAGTAAATTATATATTAATTTCTATTTGTATTATATTTTATTTGATATTAATAACTAATAGTCTGTTTTCACATTCAATTGAATGTATAGTTATATTCAATAAGTTACATAACATATCATTAATTGTGATTATGATCAATTTTACAATGTGTATCAATATTTGTGTTAAGTTGTAAAGTTTTATTGATGTACACTATGTTTGTGTAAATACAACAAACTTTTTGATTACATTGGATTATTAGATAACTTCATTATAAAGAGTTGTTGACTAATTGGAGTACATTTTAGCGGATGGTTATTTGACGTCAATGTGGACTAAGTATCCCAAATACAATACAAATATAAATACTGTGTAAATTAACTAATTATTTTGCTATTTGTACATTAAACCGGAATTTATATTTTGAGTCAGCTGATTATATTATTAAATCATTTAATATAAAGTGTATACATGCTTTGCATGTATAAATGTGAATAGTGTGGAAATGTTATTAACATTATATTCTAGTAGTTTAGACTCCAAACATTAGAATCTAATACATCGTTAAAGTGATGTAAAAATGCCAACAATTGTCCATTAAAAATACTATCAGAATCTTACATAAATAATTTAACACACATAAATAAAACAAAAATGTAAAAATTATATATAATTTATTAAATTAATAATTATTATAAATTAAAATGTATAATGTCAGATACTTAACAATAATTTACTAACAAATATAATCACTAAATCTATTAAATACAATATATTATTAATAAATATAATGTAACTATATTTAATACTATGTTCATTTTAACCAAGTGCTTATCGTACATAGAGAAGCATCAAACTTTTGTAAGACTTGGTAATTTCTTATCATTATCATTGACAGACATTTCAATTATATCAGGATTATTATTATAATAGGCGTGTTTTTCATTAGTACCATAATTATTATCTGCAACTTTATTATCAGTACTTTGTCTAACATCAGGCAAATCAGTCCAATAATGAATCCATACAATCACCGCAAAGGGTATGATTAGGATCAGCGCCACCACAATAAGGGACAGACCGGGCATTGAATCCATTGTGGCGTTGAATATACCGGTGAAGACGGCGGCAGATATGAGGGGCGCGAAGGCATCGATGGCCGACAAAGCGCTGAACACTTTTCCCAATTCATCCGAATGTATGATCTTTGAAAAGTGGGACCGAATGCCTACTGTAGCCAATCCTCCCAAACACCCGGGTATTAGCGAGTAGTAAAACCCGCCGGAAGTCAACACAACACCCCTCACAATGTTTTTGATAAAATATGACACCAATCCTACCAATGATATTGTCGTGTCTTTTAGTTTGAATACCTTGGTGAAAGTTTATAAAAAATAATTACAATATAGACTACAAGATATTATAAAAACACTAGTTTATAAACAGCATAAAAAATATACAATAGATAAAGATATTTACATTTAAAAAATAAAATAAAATATAAATTAACTTATATGGTTAGAAACTTACTAATTAAATGAAATAAAATTACCTTGAGCAGTATGGGTGCGATAATCATTGTGCCCAAAGTGATGGCGATGCTGGCGATGGCGTTGGCATTGCTGTACACCTTTGAGTCCCAGGCGTACACTTTCTGTGAGAACTGATAGTAGAATATCATTGGCCCGATGTGTGCGATCAGACAACAGGCCATCGACAGGAACAGTAGCCATATCTGGAGTCGCACGTAGTTTGGCCGCCGTTTCACACACGTGGCGAACATTTGTTTAACATTATTCACATTTAACAACAATTTCAAAGGATTTTTGTCTTTGTTTGCCTCAAATGTCTGTAATTTATTTTTAATGAAAGTTTGCTGGATATCGGGGCCCGACTCGGTGTCTGACCCTTTGCTGAACAAATGGATCCACTGTTTGATATCGTTCTCCTCGTCCACCATATATACGGTCCACAAAAGGGCTAATAAATAAGTGGCAGCTATTATGGCGAACACACCCGAGTAGTTGTATAAATGGTCGGCACCGGTGAACACTGTCCCTGTGTTGAGTACCAGACCACCCATGTATATGCCCAATGGGACGGCTGTTTAATACAGAGTTATTCTTACAGTCTTATTAAATAATAACATAATTATATTTTCAAGGCATTATGCTAAAGTAAAACTTCTAAGTAATACCTATAAACAGTGATTACAAACCTATTCCGAGCACAACCTCTGCGAATGCCATTCGGATGGCCCGCATATGCGGAGGTGTTGTGGACGCGATGTATGACCAGATGGCAGTGAATTGGGCCAACACTCCGCCGGTCAACATATGTGGCAACATTGATGCTATTATCGCATAGTGGGCTATATTTGTACCAGGTACATCAAAATTAGATATTTATCCAAGTCAATATAACAACAACAACAAAATTAATACATGCGTTAATGAAATAATCATTGAGTATAAGTATGAGGGCCTCGAGAATAGAGGTGACGGCGTTGGCGATGAGCACCACTTTTTTGGCTTTGCCATAGGTGTCAGTCCAGGAGCCGATGAACAGAGATATGACCACCGCTGGCAGTGTCCCGACCAGTATAGCATAGAGGTTGAAACTGGTGGAGTCGGCCAATATCCTTGATTTCATGCCCAAATAGTCTTCAGTCTTAATCATGTGCGGCAATCGGGAGCAGTACTGGGCCTCCAGACCATACGTGTGCCGACATATCTTGTCTTGGATGAGCTGATCCGTGGGCACCTTCTTCAGGCACAGCACAAACATTAGGGCAAACAGATAGGGCTCGACTGTCAATAGGCATAGAAACTCGTAGAAACGTTTGAGTTTATACACTAAACCCTTGTTTGTTATGGTATTCATTGCGGTTGTGGTCATAATTATGCACAAAATTGAATTGAATTTATTATTGTTTTTACACGAAATGCATTCATAAACTGATTTTCAATAGAAACGTGTTTTAGTTTACAGTGAATTATATTAAATAATGTTTATAAATACAGAAAAATGGTTATAAATTATAACTTATAATAACAATATTTTGCACATATTTGCCAAATATTTATTAGATTTAAAGGTATGTTGTAATATAATACCTAATTAATTAAATGATAAAAATTAAATTGACATTATATGAAACTGCGATTTATAATATTTATCATAGGATTAAAACTATTAAACTAATAATTTATATAAAATCAAAACTTTTATATTTAATTCATTTGTTGTTTAATTACAGGAAGAAATTCTTTTAGCACTGAATTTAAATGTTGGATAAAAACTTAGAGATTTTTACAATATTGAAATAATGTATGGGTTGCACAAAATAAATAATTACACATGATAATAATCATTAAATAAGTACTATATCTAGTGAATGTCGCGATCGTGCGAATGTACTAACAATTTTTAAATTAACTACACACAAATCAATTTATATGTAAATTAAGCATCATTATTCATTATTTGAAAGTCCTTGATAATTTGATTTTTGTACTCATCCAATTATAAATCAAGTAAATCTAAATGGGAATCTTGCAAACTGTGTCCATTCCTATTGTCACAGGGTAAATCATAATTGAACAACTATTAGTTATCATGTAAATTATCTTAGAAAATTGATCAATAATTATATAATCAATTGTGATTAATAATAAATAGATATTATTAGAATATTACAAGCAAGTTTTTAGACTATGTTAATAATTTATCAGTGATAAATGTAATATTTCAACATTTAATAAAAATACTAGTGTATTACTTGCAACCCTTTTTAAAATAAAAGTTATATATTTGAAACCAGAGAAACAGTAGACCTTATAATTCACACAAATTTCGTATATATAAACTTACAAATTAGTTGTAAAAACAAGCTATCTAGCGTAGATAGCGGCTTTTTAGCATTAATTTATAAGTTTATATATATAAAAATTGTGTGAATTATAAGGTCTACTGTTTCCCTGTTTGAAACTATGCATATGAATAAACAGTAATATTTATTGGTAAATCCTATTTTATGTATTGTTATGATTATGATCGGTTTTAAATGTGTTTTAATATTTACATTAATTTATTATGAAATGATTTAATTGAGATTTTATTTAATCACAAAAACTGTGTAAATAATATGTTATAATAGAAAAATTCTATTTAATAAAAGTACCGGAATGTTTTTAGTGTATGTATGCTTTATACAATTAGATTTGACGTGTAACTATAATTGTGGTTACAAATATTTATTTAATTATTATTACTTAATATGGAACCATAAGTAACTATAGATATAACTAGAAATAAATATTGTATATTAATAAATAAAATCAACAATTATTTTATCACTATTATGAAAAACTTAACATTAAATAGCATTTAATAAATATACACTTGTTATGCACATTATTTTGTAATATTTTATTTGGAAATATTATTTCATATGATTTTGTTTTGTATAAAAAATAACATTTTTATGTTTGTGAAAATGGTCATTCGGATTTAATTAGCATTATATTTGAACAAAATAATATTTACTAAATAATTTACACATTATAAAAATATTTACAACAAATATATAATTTACATGAATAAAAATATAAATATTTTATATACAATTAACATAAAATTAATGACCTAGTAAAACAAAATTTACTAATTAAAATGACATATATTATTAAAAGTAAAACTATTTAATAAACTAACTATAAAATTATAAAAAAATTATTTTAAACTTCACTTCTATTCACATCTGGTTTACAGTCAATTGTGGATTCATTGCTATCATTAGTGATAATATGAGAAGATTGTGGTAAAACAGTGAAGATTTGAATCCAAACCATTACCATAAACGGGACAACCAATACAGCAGCGATCAGTATTAAAGTCAATCCGCCATTTGTATCAATAGTGGCGTTGAATATATTGGTAAAAATACCGGCCGCGAGCAACGGGGTAATAGCCTCGAGCATAGCCAGACTACTAAACACCTTGCCCAATTCATTGGGCTGAATGATCTTGGAAAAATGAGTACGAATACCTATTGAACCTAACGAGCCCAGACAGCCGGGCAATAGCGATAGGTAAAAGCCCTGTGCCGTGAGCACAGTCCCACGTATGATGTTTTGGGTGAAATACGATAGTAATCCTATTATACATATTAGCGGGTCTTTCAGTTTTACAACCTGTAATTGTAGACAAATTGAATAAATTACCTTGTTTTTAATGAATGTAATTATAACATGATCAAAATAAGTTGATCCCTACCCTTATTAATATGGGTGCGACGATAAATGTGCCCAAAGCCATTGTAACTGTAGTGATGGCGGAGCCGTTGCTATATGTCTCAGAGTCCCAGTTATACATCTTTTGGGTGAATTGAAACAGTATTATAACGGGCCCGACATGTGATAGTAAATAAATTGTCATCGATAGAAATAGTAGCCATATCTGGAGCCGTATCCACCCGTCCCGGGGTTTAGTACACGTGCGCCACATTACCCGAGCGTTGTTCAGGTTTAGCAACAGTTTGATGGGATGTATGTCTTGATTGTCGTCGTATTTCTGGAGCTTCTGTCGCACCCTTTCGGCCACTTCTTCGTCAGTCTCGGTGTCGGACAAGCGATTGAACCGTCGCTCCCATTCGCCGACATCCCGGCGCTCGTCCACCATAAATATGCACCAAATGAGTGCCAACGCAAAGGCAATGCCGCAGATTATAAAAATAGTAGCCGAGTTGTGCAGTTGACCAGTACTGAATATGGGCTTGGTGTTTAAAATTAATCCACCCAGGTATGTGCCTAATGGTTGCGCTACAAATTGTGTGCACAACATTTATTTTAATTAATTATTTTAATTAATTATTTAAATTTATATTACAGATACGATAATTAAACTTGACAACAAATAATTTCAAATTGAACTAGCACACATACCTAATGCAATAATAATCTCTGCAACAGCCATACGCATAGCTCTCATGTTGGCCGGAGTGGTGGCCGCGATATACGACCAGATCGACGACAACAAGGCCATTAGGCCGCCGGTAAAAATACCAGGCATCACTGACGCTAATATCACATAATGTGCTGTGCAATAATAATACAACAATTATCAGGTTGGTACATTAATTAAATAAAATAAGTTAAATTAAATAAGTGGCTAATAAATTATTACAATAAATTATAATCAATTTCTTACACAGATCAAACGCATAATCATTGATGAGAAGTATGATGACCTCCAATAGGGTGGACACCGCACCCCCGATCATCATCACTTTTTTGGCGTTTATATAGGTGTCAGCCCACGAGCCGATGAATGGGGAGGCGACCACTGATGGCAGTGTTATAAATATAATAGCGATCATCATATATGTGGTGTTATCGGTCAAAATCACGGACTTCATGCCCAGATCGTCGTCCGCGTCGGCCATACCCGACAAATTGGCACAATATGTGCTGTTTAGGTGGTATACGTTGCGACATATTTTGTCCTGGATGATTTGATCGGTGGGCACTTTTTTCATCATGTATACAAACATCCAGGCAAACAGATACGGCTCCACTGTTAACAAGCTGAGAAACTCGTAGCACTTTTTTAGTTTATATGAAAAACCACGAGTGGTTGGTTTAGTTTCCATATTTATTATTATATTTTGTTTTATGTTTATTTTAAATTATTAATATATTTGCAAAATTAGTAGTTTTGTTAGTAAATCATTTTTTGCTAAATATAAAATAAATGTTATTTTTAAAAATATTTCTTTCAGTATTTATATTAATGTATTTAATGTAAGTTAAATTAGTACTTTAATATTACACTAGTAATTCATAAATGTCAATCCAATTAATTCCTGAAAACATGGTTATCAAACTATTTTACTATTGATAATTTAATACCCGACTATCACTTACCAAATGTACTCTATTTGAGATAAGACTATCAAAATTATTGTCATAAATACAATTAATTATTAATCATGGCAGAAACAATATTATATTTACTGTATGTTACTTTGCCACAAGTTTCTCAAAATGTACCCGCGGTGTGCAACAAAGATCATGATTGTAATTAATAAACATTTGACTCATTCTATTACACCATATGTAATAAACAATTGTGTAATAATTGTAGAAAAGTAATCTCATTTAATCTATACATGTATATAAAATCTAATTGCTATTACTTTGTTTTGTCTGAAAGCTTGTATGACAAGGAATATTAATGATAAGGGTAGTTTAACTTTCAAAATTATAATAATTTTAATATTTTGCGCATATTTTTTAAAATATAATTATTTATAAAAATAAAATATATAAAACTATTAACTATATGTACTTTTCTGTGTAATTTAATATATATTAAGATGATTTTTAGAAAATGGGCATAACAGTAATTTATTAATTTTGTGACTATACCAATAAGCTATATCAGATAATTAATGTCGAGTACTTTTACATTATAGAAAATTACTTTATAATATCAGGAGATGTTATAAAAAGGTAAGTTATATTACTGTATATTGTGTAATCATAATCCGCATACAATTTGTACACAAGTCTACTTGTAGTACCTTTTGGACTCAACTGTACCCTTAATGTTATTAATGAAGTGAATGAACACTTTGTAAATTGCGTTAACTTCTCTTGAATAAGATGACACATTATATTACAATATAATAGTATTTTATGTTTAATTAATCATGTTTATTTAATCAATCACATTTACTAAAACTCGTGACAACCTTAATTAATATTGTTTTCTTTATATATAAATACTGTTTGAATTAAAATTATTTACAGCAAAAATAAATCAACAATTGATAGAAAAATTTTTATTATACAGTAATGTAAGTTTATGAAGGCTACAATATATTCTCCTTATTTGTATGTCTGTATTGTATCTTAAAATGTTAGTTAATTAAAAATTTTAATTAAAATACACGATTAAAAGTTATATTTACAGATTTTAATAAAATATAAGCTATGATAATTTTTATAATAATGTTATAAGTTTTTACAAAATGTCAATTTTAATAACTTATTTAATAAATAACTAACAACGAATAAAATTAAATAAAAACATAAAACATACATGATTATTTTAGTACCACATCATATCACTTGTTTATCATACATTTGATCAGAAGTACAATCTTCATGGGTTTCATCAGTGATAATACGGGGAAAAACTGGTAAAACAGTGAAGAAACGGATCCAAACCATCACAACAAAGGGGACAACCATTAAAGCGGCGACTAATAACAGTGTCAGTCCCGGAGCCGTATCTATAGTAGCGTTAAAAATAGTGAGGAAAATACCCGAAGCGATCAACGGACTAATGGCCTCAATGGCGCCCATAGAGCTAAACACCTTGCCCAATTCGCTGGGCTCAATGATCTTGGACAAATGGGTACGAATGCCTATGGCACCCAACGAGCCAAGACAGCCGGGCAATAGGCTGACATAATAGCCGTGGTATGTGAGCACAACACCACGTATGATGTTTTGGGGAAAATACGATACCGACCCTATCATCGCAAGTACTGGATCTCGAAGTTTGAATACCTAAATAGGTTTTTTTAAATAAAAATGATCTAGTTTAATATTTTTATTTAAATTAATTAGATCAATTTTTAAATCTGCATTAATGCTAACCTTTATGAGTACGGGTGCGATAATGAATGTGCCCAAAGTCATGACTACAGAGCCAATGGCAGCTATTGTCGTGTACTGTTGAGAGTCCCAGTCGTATACCCGTTGCGAAAAGTGAAACATTATGATAACGGGTCCCGTGTGTGACACGAGATAACAGGCCATCGACAACAACAGTAGCCATATCTGGAGTCGTGTCCACTCGTCCCGGGGTTTAGTACACGTTCGCCACATTTCGCGGACGTTATTGAAGTTTAGCAACATTTTGATGGGATGTATGTGTCGATTGTCGTCGTATTTCTGGAGCTTCTGTCCCACCCTTTTGGCAACTTCTTCGTCAGTCTCGGTGTCGGACAAGCGATTAAACCGTCGCTCCCATTCGCCGACATCCCGGCGCTCGTCCACCATAAATACTGTCCAAATGAGTGTCAATACGAAGACAACGCCGCCGATTATAAACACGACCGACGAGTTATGCAACTGACCGGTGCTGAACAGGGGTGTAGTGTTGAGCACCAGTCCGCCCACGTATGTGCCCAATGGTTCAGCTGTTTATGGGTATAAAGCTACATTAAACCAACATGTACAAACTACTGTATGTACGCACAGTACAAACATACTTTATTTTAGAACCCATATGTAGGTTTCACATACACTGTACACATGTATACAGATGTGTACAAATGTATACATAGGGGCAGACTGTCCCTCGA